ATCTCATGGATTCGTTTGTGCTCTAGTTGTGGAGTGTTGTGATTTTATCTTGTGTGAGTTAGGGTTCTTTTGGTTGAGGAGATGTGTTAGTTTGTAGCTCCAGGCGGTTGTAGTGGTCTATGCGTTTGTTTGGTTTCAGAGGTTGGTTCGTTTAGACTCGATGCTCAAGTTATTACTGTTTTGGCGTCGCTGTCTCATTTGTTTCCCAGTGTCTATGGTAAAGGTACTCTGACATTGGTTCTTGCTCTATTGCCTTTATATCCCTGCGTTCTTCTCCGCCTCTTCGTTTCGCTGGTTAAGTGGGTGCTAGAGCCGCGTTCTGGTCTTCCAAGCGTTTGGTTGTACCTCGAAGTTTAGGTTCTGCTCTTCTTATGTTTGTTGGCTATGATTTGGTTTCTTCATGTTCTTTAGCTTAGTTGGTGGGGATACTTTTGGCTATGTGGTTTGAGCTTGGGGTAACTATTTTGCTTTCATCTTCAATCAAATACCCTTTATTTTTTGTTTTATTTTCTTTGGTCCTTTGGACAAAGATTTGTCTCGCTGGAAAATCTTTGTTCCCATAGGCTTTATGTTTAGTGTTTTTGTTGATTGTTGTAATTCTCTCCGAATCGTACTCAACCATTATAATATAACTTCAGATGACAAAAAAAAGAGACTTCAATAATATAAATATATATCTCCTTTATTATTGGAAAAATTACAAAAATACCGCTATTTATGTGCACATTTGCAAAAATGCTACTTAGGGCTGTTCATTTGCAAAAATGTCACTAATTATAGATTTTTAAACCCTATATTTTAAAATTCTAAACACTAAAAAATGTTTTGACTCCTAAACCCCCCTAAATCTTCATAACTAAACCCTAATAAAACATAATTAACTCAAACATAAATAATATAAAAAAAATAATTTTGAAAAAGTGGCATTTGTATAAAGATTTAAAAAATTTGGTATTTTTATAAAATGGCATTTAAAAAATGATATTTTTTAAAATTTCTCTTTATTATTTGCATTTGAATTTGAAGAATAGTGATACTGCACACTTCTCCGATATAAGAAAAGATTTTAAAAAAACTTTTTTTCAAAAAAAAAAAGATTTTGATGTTCCTTTAATTTACTAGTGCAATCATATTTCGAGCACTCAACATTAGTGCTAGAGAAAATATAAACAGTAAAAAAAAGGCTGGTTTGGAATTGCACATTACCCACCAGTTTCCACAATCCACTTATGAAACCTCTTTCGTGAATTGGAAGACCTTTCATCTGATTTACAATCTCATCATTTGTTTTCTTCACTATGGGAGATTCACAATCCAACTTAAAAAGAAATCAAATATCTATCTAAAAATATATTACCTTATTTTTAATAATTTTCAATTAAATTTGAAAAATCAATGTGAAAGTATATTAAAATAAACATGATAAGCTATTGTGAACAATTTATCAATTTTTCATCATTTATGAGGATTAAACTGTATTTCGTTTAAAACTCTCATGAT